CCCGGTACACAGGATATTTTTAATTACCCTTTTTACAATTTTTAACAATTTTAACATTTTTAACAATTTCAACAATTTTAACCATTTTAACCATTTTACATTTTAACAATTTCAACATTTAATTTTAACATTTTCGTTTTAATATCCATTGCTTTGCTTTTAACATTCCAAAACTGATTGTTCTTACTCAAGAATTTCAATAACTTCGAATGTTAGTCTTTTGTATTTTTTCAACATACAAACCAAAATCACTTTGATGTTGTCACAAAAGTAACATCTGTGCGCGCATCGGTTTTCGTTCATTTAAAAACTACAAGTACAAAACATCTGGAAACTAAGCAAACATACTCAGTAAATTGATTGCTGTAATTCCCGATTTTTTTTCACTGTACCGCAACGCAAGCGGGGGGTCAATGTTCACGGTTTTCACTGTCACCTCTGTATTGTGAACTTATCATTACAGTTAGGAAATAATTCCTGGGCTTTCTTTTTCCTGCAACTGTCACCACCGTGAATATATAGTTCCGTGAACATGTCCATTTTCTCAGGCCGTGAAAATTTTGCTTCCGTTAGTAGTAGTTACAATCTCATCAAAAGTGTAAAGTAAAGCTGTCGAGATTTAAAGTGCGTGTCGTTGTATCTTTGTAAAAAAAAAAAGGGAGATAATTGCCAAGTGCCAGTTTTGTAAATACCTGTCGAGATTCAAACAGCTTGTCCTTGTATAATTGCAGTATGATTTATTTAGAATCTCTCATTTTTGCTTGGGGAAGGGTATGGAGTGAAATTCCTACATTTGCTCCGAAGCGAATGTTGGCCTTTCTAGTTTAAACGGATTCAGCTTCTTCATTTTAGGGCCTAAGGTCCTGAAATTTGGTATGGAGGTACAGTGGGCAAATACCCCTAGGCGTTTTTAAAATTCTTGTGATACAGGCTTTTAGAATGGTTTTATTTTAGGTTTTTGGCTGTGTTATAGCAAATGTATTACTGTGTTAGTGTGCCCTGTTTACCACGTCTGGGCATGAGTCATCACAATGGAATGCAGGGCATCAACCAATAGGCATGCAGCTTTCCTCTATACTTCTTGCTGATTGGCTGTTGGGATTTAACTTGATTAACACCTGCACAGAGCATTTCCACCTGCACAGAGCATTTCTTGCTGATTGGCTGTTAGGATTTAACTTGATTAACACCTGCACAGAGCATTTCCATACTGACAGTATGTCTTTATTCAAGTGTTTTGGTAGGTATTTCAAGCTTTTCTGCTCCAGCATTGGAATGCGGGGCATTGAACGTTTTTTTTTTTTTTGAAAATCAACAGTTTGCATTATGCAATTAAAAATCCTAACCAATAAAGTAGGGAATAGCTATCCAACTGTTGTTTTAGTTGTATGTTACTTCATATTATAGTTATATCAATGTAAATCATTGTTTTCCCTTGTGTTTCTCATTCTTTCCCTGCCATGTGGTAAAATGTGGTGAACCCATCGCTGTATTTGCTCCAAAGCAAATATTGGCCTTTCTAGTTTTCTTCTTTTTTTCAAGGATCAAGACTTAAGCAGTTGGAAGATTGTGCGCTGAACATACAGCAGGTAAGTTTGTGCTAAGAAGTTAGTAGAATTGGTTTCTATTTAAACTACATGGGTACAAATAGACAGTAGATAAAGGGTGTTGTCTTAAAGTAAAGGCTGTGCACGTGTTACCCTCCTGTTTCTATCCTTCAGATGGGATTCACCAGGGAGCAGAACCATCCATGAGAAACTGACCATGGAGGGACCAGACAGTGTAGGACCCAGCCATCCACAGATAGATATACATGTACATCATCCGACTGCAACAATTCTAGAAACACAGTGTGTGAAAATGTAAGATTTGCAATGTTATCTTTTCAAGAGTCAGAAATAAGTCAGAAATCCCAGAGAAGTTTGGTTGTTTTGCACACTCTCTGGTGTACGTCCCCCAATTGTTTGCCTTCATAAACGAGAGGTTTTTAGGGGTCGTGTAGCTTGCAAACAACCTAGTTTGAACAAATCATATGAAGGACTATTATAGCTTGTACAGAAATTCTATTGCTTTACTTTGCTTTCTTTGACTCTATTAGCTCACTAGTGTGATTTTAGAAATAAAGGTAACCATTATGATAATCATAGTAATGTATAGCTTATTCAATGTATGGTTTCATAGTTTATGTGAGTGTGAATATGGCCATGTTGATTTGATTATATGGATGACATCTGTTAGTGCATCGGTTTTCGTTCATTCCCAAAAGAAGTTTACGACAATCATACAAAACATCTGCAAACTGAGCAAACGTACTCCG